TGGTCAAACATTTAATTAACTCCTGTGGTGTGGCACTGGGTGATAAAACACTGGACCACAAGGTGATTTTGAACCGCAAGGTTGGTGATTCAAACTCAGCAGCCACTCCATGGAAACCCTATACAGGGTCTCTATGAGCTGGAACTGGTTTGACGGCACATCACCACCACCACCACCACCACCACCACTGGAACTGCAGTTGCCTTGGCGCAGGGCTAGACCAAATGATTATGCGTGTCGGACAGTCCGCATCCCTGTTATAGACATGGAGTATGTAAAGTAAGATGGAGGGTATATCCGGAAACAGCTTCACATTTTAATTTTTTTGTTTCATAAAGGTTTCTATGATTTTATTGCAACACTTGTTTTTTGTTGTTGTTTAGTGTAATTTTCATTTTTAAAAAATGTTTTATTCTGCATTATGTGATAGTTTACATGGGAGAACATTAGTTATACATTCATCCTATTGTATATCATTCATTGCCATGGTTACAATCCCCTCCATGCATCATCAACAAACCACAGGGTATACCCTACAACCTGCCCCCAAGTCGTCAGCACACAGCCCCTATCCCTCTCTGTTTCTAAAATCCCTAGCTGCTCCATCTCTCCATGTCATCATCTCTGCCTGCATCTCAGGCATCACTGCTTCTCTGGATAGGGTCCCGTTCTCCGCTCTTCTCCCTTGATGGTCCTAGGGACCTCTGCTCCTAGACTGCAAAGTTAATCACTCCCCTCCTTGCTACAAAACGTCTACCTTTACATTTCCATCCCTCACAAGCAGTCCTGATAACAGTTATTCACTGTTGTATCACAAGAGACCTGTCCTCATTTCCTTTCATCAGCCCTGCCTAGACAGACTGGATACTTCTCAGTGGAGAGTCTAACTTCCTCCACGACCTCTAGATCTAGGTTACGTCTTGTAAGCCAGTCACTTCTTGCCTTTGAAGCCCTCCCCAATTTTGGGTAGACAGTGTCCAAGTTGCCCATCCCTGTCTACTCTGTGCATGGAAGGGGCCGTGGGAATGATCCTCGCTGTAAAGATTTGTTACCTCTTTTTTTCCCTCTTCTTCTAGTTGAGCTCTGATCATCCAGTCATTGAAGGCAGGTCAAGTGAGTATTATCTGCAAGTGTGGGTGTTGAGCATATGCCCTGTCTTCTTATCAGCTGGATGCTTCACTCTCCACTCTAGTCCTCTGTGGCTATGTCAGTGACTCCAGACCCAAGAGTCCCTAGGTCTTGCCACACTACTGGCCAACTAGATCTCTACGTGGGTTCACAGGAGTCTGTTAAACATTGTAGGGCTTAGCTCACAACTTCATTGCTGTTTTCCCTCACTTCTCCTTATCGGTGACAAATGTGGTCACCAATCAGAGCGTGTATTACCATTGAGTCTTAGTGTTGGAAGGGGGTTTGCTCCGAGGGGACCTGACCACTTGCCTTGATGTCTCCTGGGCGAGCAACTTGCTTGTTATTGTAGTAACAGTCGGTCTGCCTATATTTTGTATTTTTCCTGTAGGTCTTTATTTCAAGAGGTATCTTCTGTTCTTCTAGCTGCTCCAGGCTGGTCTGCTTGTCCTTTCAAGTGGAAATTTCCCATCTCAGAAGATTGTGACTACTGTTCAGGATTTCACCTATGGTCTTACGTAATGCAGAGGCTCCACAGGAAGCCTCCTTCACTGGGCACGTTGTAGCCCCATTTTAGGTATTCCAATCAGTTATAGGCAGAACACGTACTTACAAGTTTTCTATGGTGATATTTCTGGCTATTCCTTTCTCTCCCCCTCAAGTGTCTATTTTATAATGGTATGCAAGGGAAACCAGGATTCATAAGATAGCCAAGAATCTTAACATTATTCCCCCCTTTTCCCCATTCCAACCATGTCTCAATCCCTGTATCCCGGAGTCACTTTATTTTCTTGCAGGTTAGTTTTACTTCCGTTTTTAAGGATTCCCTTCTTTACATGGGCTTTGGTAGTCGTTGTGGGGCAGCACCTGCAGGTCTGAATCGGGGTGGGGGTGTTCGGTCCTTCCGAGCTGCACAAGACCGGTTCCTGACCACCTGACTGTGAATGGCGCAGCTCACACAATAAAGCAGTTTCACATACAGCTTGGGAAGCACGGATGCATCGGAGACACTCACTGTGGAAATATCCCTGATGGCTGCAGCCCCTACTGTGTTTCAAATTACGAACTTCTTAATGGCCTTGCCTTTGGGCACACAGTGGGTGCAGTTCGTGCAGCAAATAGGTTGCACGTGGCCACGACCCTTTTTGGCATGACCATTGTTAATCCTTTTCTTTGTCATCTTGGAAGTGAATACCAGAGAGGAGCGCTATCGCAATACTTTTTGATTTCATATGTCCTTGCAGCTCTTTTGATGCCTTTTATTCTCTGACCTTGCATTTTCTATCGTAGACCTTGTATGCTCCAGATCGATATTTCAGACAACCGAAAATCTCTGGATATTCAATTTTAAAAATTGCTGTCAAGTTTATTGTATTTCATGATAAGTCTGTGTATGCCAAAGTAGTACTGTGATCTCTATGGTTTTCAATGGTAGAGTTTTCAATAGTATTGCCAGAGCTTTGTTCCATAGTGCTTTTGAGTGTACTTGAACCTTCAACTTATAGGTTAGCAGCCAAATGCATTAACTGTTTGCACAACCCAGGGATTCTGGATATTCAGTAGTCATTCCAGATTAAATTTCTCTGTATCTCATTGTTACCCTTAAAACAAGGATGTCTGCCTATTTGCTGTATTCATCCATCAGAGTTAATGTTCTCTGCAGCATTGTGTAAGGTCATGAGTATCCTGCTAGGGATTTTGAATTCTTAGAATCAATAAATTTTAGTTCATATATAGTCCCTGTTGTTGTTCTGAAGTGCCTGTATAGGGTTTCCGAGGAGCAGCTGGTGAGCTTGAACTGCTGACCTTGCAGTTCAAACAACTTTACAGTCTGGCGCATTAATCCACAGCGCCACACCAGGACTCCATATATTCCCCGGAGATCATCTAAAACAGATAAAACTTTTTTTTTCTTTTCATTAGAACAGATGTAACAAAATCCAGCTTAACTGTTAATGTGATTAAATGAAATAATGAGCCACCTAAGTCAGTGTTACTTGATACATGTTATTGTTGGTGGTTGTTGTTAAGTACTATGGAGTCGGTTTCAACCTAGAGCAACCCTGCATAGTTTCCAAGGAGCGGCTGGTGAGTCTGAACTGCTGACCTTGCAGTTCAAACCAACCTGGCATTCGAGCGCATTATCCTACAGCGCCACACTAGGACTCCACCTGATATATAATTTTTAAGTGCTATCAAATCTGTTCTATATATATATAGGGTTTCCAAGGAGCAGTTGGTAAGTTTGAACCGCCAGTGTTGTAGTTAGCAGTCCGCCTTCCTCTCTTCCCAAATTGTTTTCTTTATGCAGTGTAACCAAGGTCCTTCCGCTCTCTTAGATTATAATTCTTGAATTTTCTTTTGCTGATCTTTTGCTTGAATTGTGCTTATATGGTTATATGACATCATCAATACATTAATTTTGTAAAAGGAATGTGTCATCAGAAGCAACACTGGTTCTTGTGTGCCCAACTCTTTTATGTATGTATAATGAGCAATGTTTGGAATGATCAGGAAGATTTATTTGTGTCATTAGTATTAACTCTGACAGGCTTCATTAAATATTTTTCCCTAAGCTTTTAATGGTTGAGTAGTAGTTTTGTTACCCATTAAATTTTATATATTAACTTTTAAATCTTCCCTTTGTTTCAGGGGTATGTACAGAAAAGAGAAAATAATAATAATAAGCTCTTAATAAAATTTATAATTTACAAATGGTCAGAATATGCCCTTTGTAAATAGCCTATACAGTTACAAAGCATGTAGTGTTGATACTTTTGAGGATTTCTGTTGAAATTGAATATTTTAAATTATTCATTTCTTATAATTTATATAATTTAAAAGATTGCTGTCTTTGATTTTTCTAATAGTTTTTAACTAGTGAATGCTTATATCTCAAGGAGAATATTTTTATTATGTTGCATTAGATATTGATGAACTCTTGCCTGAAACAGTTGGTCCAGGAGCATGTGTTTCTTTTCATTCAAATTGTTTTTAGTTCTCTGATAAAGTTTTGTAATTTTTTCCATTATAGATTTTGTAACTTAACATTTTTACCTCTTGGTTCATTTATTTATTTATTTAATCTTTCCCTTTTCTTACTATCTTTTCCCGTTATTTTTTAAGTGGTAAAACAGGCATGAGTACCTTGGTGGCTTTGTGGGTTTAGCCTTGGGCTGCTGTCAGGTCAGCATTTCAAACCCACCAACTGATGCACAGGAGAAAAAGGATGCTGTATGCTGCTGTAAAGATTTCTACTCAGTCCTGTATTTATTATGAGTTGAAAGTCCTGGTGTGATGCTGTAGAAATAACACTGGACCACAACATCAGTGGTTCAAACCCAACAGCAACTCCTCAAACCGTATACAGGGTGGCCTTGAGTCGGAACTAACTCAGTGGCACTTAAAAAGAGCAATGAGTCAGAATTGATGGCAGGCAGTGGGTTTGGTTTGGAATACAGGTATATAGTATAGCTCTTACAGAGTCCTGTTGTGTGGCGCACTATAAGATAAACATTGGACTGCAAGGTCAGTTTCAACTACAAGATTGGCTATTCAAAACCACCTACTGCTCCTTGGAAACACTATACAGGGTTGCTATTAGTAGGAACCAGCTACACTTAACAGCAACAACAAAGTACAGCTCTTTTTATGTGCCAGCCAAATTGTTAAAACTCTTAGTTTCAAACTTTTGGTATTCTTAAAGCAAATGCATTGTAGATAACTTTTTAGATCTAGGCATTTACCCTCTAATTTTGTAAAACTTAGTTGAAGGATCATCCTTGTTGACAGGAACCTTTCCTAATTACTGCTTGGAGTTTTCTTTACATTTTCATTAACACAGTCATCTCTTTTATTGTTGTTGTTTTAAGCTCTTTTCCCTTATGGATATGAAACCTCCCATCTCTCGAGCCAAGATGATTCTCATCACTAAAGCTGCTATTAAAGCTATTAAGGTAAGACTAATCTAAGTATATTTATTTGAAAATGATTTTTTTTTTTTAAACAAAAATGTATTTTTGTTGAGTATGAGAAATCATATTGTCACTAGTTCAGAGCTGAAGCAAAGAGCACTAACCAGCCTCTGCTGAAGGTAAGGCATAATTCTGTGCATTTGCATTGTAGACTGTAGTTTCTAAGAAAAATTTTTTCTTTTATCTTTATAATAAATATTAGCCTTATTTTTATAAAAGAAACTTGGACCTACTGGAATAAATGTCTTGCTCAAGATCAGGCTTTAGAAACTATATTTTAGTTGCCAATCCTTTGTTCCTGTCCCTCCCATATGTTGCCTATATCCATATGCTGCTTTATGAAGGTTTGTTGATTAAAAATCTAGGAAAAGGACCATCTGTTTTTGGAAGAGTCTTTGTAGTTTTCGGTTTTAACAAATTCCTTTCTGAATTGTTACATAAGATTTTTTTTCTTTTGTTGACATGTAATATGAGTTATTTATCATGGTTCATTCATTTGAATTATTTAAATTGTACATATGTCAAGATTTTAAATATTTTCTAATTACAGGAAATACAGAAATATTTAACTGGATAATTTTCTTTTTAATTCTTTTCAGCTTTATAAGCATGTAGTTCAAATAGTAGAAAAGTTCATCAAAAAGGTAACTATTTCATTATTTCATTTAGTTTATGGTTGGTATTTATAATTTACTTTGTAAACTGTAATTTGCTTCTAAAGCCACTTTAACCCTACTCCCACCCCCCAAAAAATATTTATTGAAATACCGTTGATTGAGTGAACACTTACTATGATCCAGGCACTGAATTTATGCCAAGTCTCAACAACAGTGTTTCTTGTCTGCCCCCATCAAAATTAAACCAGTTTTGCCAGTTCACAAGTGTATATTTTTATCACTATTTCATTAGCAGTTAATAGAGGGCTGAAGGAGCTCTGGTAGCATAGTGGTTACGAATCGGCCTGCTAACCTCAGGGTCAGCAGTTTGAAACTACCAGCTGTTCTGAGGGAGAAAGATGAGACTTTCTGCTCCCGTAAAGATCTACAGCCTCGGAAACCCTGAACGGGGTCGCTGTGAGTTGGAATTGATTCCACAGCACATAACAGCAACAACATATGCCACCTTTATAAGGCGCTCTGGTAGTGTAGTGATTACGAGTCAGGCTGCTAACCTCAAGGTCAACAGTTTGATGAAACTACCAGCAGTTCTGCAGGAGAAAGATGAGGCTTTCTGCTTCCATAAAAGAGTTAACAGCCTTGGAAACCATGTGCAGGGTGGTCACTATGAGTCAGAACCGACGCCACCACATACAACCACCTTTAACTTATGAGTTTGGTTTCACTCTTCACTTGTATATAAAGGGCCCTGGTGACACCATGAGTTAAGCATTGGGCTACTCACCGAAATACCAGCAGTTGGAACCCACCAGCCTCTCTGCAAGAGAAAGATGAGGCCGGCAGTCTCGGTAGGGTTGCTGTGTGTTGAAATCAACTCGGTGGTAGTGATTTTTGGATTAGGTACATTTATAAATGTAAACATTGGGATATACTGATTGATGACATGTCTTTTCCCATTGAGTTTATCATAAATATTTATAAGAATTCCACTGTATAATTGTTACCATAATTTATTTAGTAAGTTGGATATTTAGATGTTTCTAATTATTTACTTAAGAAAACAGTGCTTCATTAGCTAACCTTAAGAAAAAAAACTGGGTATGTCTTAATATTGTTTCTTTAGGACAAATTCCCAAATGTAGAGTCAAAAGTGGATTTTTGGTTTTGATTTCTAAATTTTACCTATTTCATCGATGCTGAGAATATATGCTCAGTAAATTCAGCAGTTTCTGCCTGTCCCATTTGTTTACAGTCTTTGATTTGTACAACAATTCTTACCCTCCTCTACTGAGTTGAGAGTAGTAAGGGTTTTTAAATAAGGCTTTGCTTGAATTGCTCCTGTAAGTGTTGTATAGTTTTGTGCTATGTGTGTAGGTACCTATGTCTCTGCTTTTTTGTTTTTGTCTTTTAATTTAATAAGCCAAAAATGGGATTTTAATTTTTGTTTCTCTGGTACGAATCTTCTTTAATAGAATTTAAATTGATGCATTGTTAAAATTGTCTTTTTGTAAAGTATTATTTGCCCTTGGATATTTTATATGGGAGGTGGAGGTAAGGGAATAAAAGAAAAGTAAAATATCCAGTGTGTCACTCTACATTAAGCAGTGGACTTGCTATCCATAAGGCTGGTGGTTCAAAAAGCCAGCTGCTCCTTGAAAACCCTATTTATTATAGGGTCGTTGTGAGTCGTAACTGACTCAATGGCAGTTAACAACAACAATGTGTATCTGTGAGTAGACTTCAAAAATTCCATAGAAAAATGGAATGAAAAGATCATGGAATATGTCCAGGAACTTTTTGAAGTCCCCTCCGGTATGTGTGTTTCAGAATTGTTAGATAACTAGGTGTCAGGTGGTGATTTTGCTTTTCTAATGTTGATTTTGCATCTTTATCTTTGCAGTGTAAACCAGAATACAAGGTTCCAGGATTATATGTAATTGATTCAATTGTAAGACAGTCTCGTCATCAATTTGGAACTGATAAAGATGTTTTTGGGCCAAGATTCTCTAAAAACATTACTGCCACATTCCAATATTTATATCTTTGTCCATCTGAAGATAAGGTATAGTTAAAATTTTGAAATTAAAATTAGAAATGTTGTTGGGTTTTTTATTACGTAAATGTCAATATTATTAATTTTTTTTGCATCCTGAAGTGGTGCTGTAGGATAAGCACTGGACTGGTAACCCAAGGTTGGTGGTTGAAACTCACCAGCTACCCTTTGGAAGCCCTGTACTGGGTCGCTAGGAGTTGGAACCAACTTGACACTTAACAAGAACAGTGACATGCTAGATTTTTGAAGCTGGCTGTAGTGTACTAAATATCTAAAGAAGATGTTCTTGGAAAGACTTGCTTGTAATTAAGTGAAAAAGAAATTGTGCAGTAGAAAGGACAAGTAATTGATGACTTCCCCTGGCATATAGAGATGCTAGAGTATAGATGGTATTCATTAACAACCAGACTGCAAAATTTGATTTCTCATAATACATGTATTTGTACTTTAAAAAGGTAAGAAAACTTTAGTAAGTTCAGTCTCACCAGTGGTGAAGATAGACTGGTAAGCATACTCAGAATAGTAAAGAATGGGAACGTTTGCAATCACTGGTATATAACTTTTTGAGTGTTGTAGGTTCTGTGGGGTTTTAAAGGGTGTCACACTTGTTAAAATGCACAAATGAAAGAAAGTCAATTCTTGAATAGAAGGTAACAGTTATATTAATGAATAGCACATCGGTTGTCAGTGACATTTCTTTGTAACCATAAAGAAAGGCTTGTAAGAGTGGATTAACCAGGTTATATAATTCTGGTGTTAATGCACTAGACTGCAAACTTGGTCAGAACCTCAAGGTCAGTGGTTCAAGCTCACCAGCTGCTCCTTGGAAACCCTATACAGGGTCGCTATGGGTTTGAAACTGACTTGACGGCACTTAACAGCAAGATAATTCTGATACTGAATTTGTTCGTTTATTTAGGATGTGACTTCATAAAAATGAAAATGTTAGTCTAGGGAATTTTTATCTTTTCTGTAAGAGATATAAATATTTATACTAATAAACATTATATATTTGTTTTGTCAAATGTTGCAGAGTAAAATAGTTCGAGTACTGAACCTTTGGCAAAAAAATGGAGTGTTTAAAATTGAAATTATTCAGCCTCTTTTGGACATGGCAGCAGGAGCCAGTAATGCTGCCCCAGTTGCAGAGAGTGTTACTAATAATGAAGGTATGGTCAAGTATATCTGTGAGCCGAGATAATAATATAACTTTAGTCTACATGGAAACTTGGAATCTTTTATATTGGTGGAATTTTTCCATAAGAAGGAAACATGTTTGCATCTTGGAAGCTGAGTTTCTTTCCATCATTCTTAGTTTTAATAAAAGCAAGCTCTTTCTCTACTTATTATAGTTTACATCTATTATGCAACGTAGTAGTATACATGTGGTTAATTTTGCAGTATCACAATCTATATTATATTCTAAACTAGGTGGCATTTTATTTAGTGATGTTTGAGGAGAAAGTTTACATTTTCTTAGACCTTATTGTTCCTCCTTTTTTTTTTTAAGGTTCACCTCCACCTCCAGTAAAAGTTTCTTCTGAACCCCCACAAGTCACTACAAACTCAGTAGCAGCTGTGCCACAATTGCCCAGCTCTGACGCTTTCGCTGCTGTAGCCCAACTATTTCAGACAACTCAAGGGCAACAGGTAAACTACAAACCCAAATAGTTCATTGTATTCTTGCTTAGGCACTGTCGTCCGTTCATATTTTCCATTTCTAATTATTGAGCACTTTAAGGGAGAAAATATGTCTACTTCTCAATTATGCTTTCGCTGGGGAGTTAATGGCATGGGGTAGTTAAGGAAATGTAAAGGGAAAATCAAGGGGAGAAACACACTGAGAAACAGCAGTTACTTCTTTGAAGAGATCTGCTAGATGCCTGGTATTGTTCACATTTCTAGCATGTCTGATTGATTTTAAAATTATTTAGATTGGGGAAATTTTTCCCCATGTTTCTAGAAAACTTAGATTGATCATAGACCCAGAATTCATTGTATTTTCTCATCTCCTTCACTAAAATTTTATATATCATTAGGTTTACAGCATACATTTTTAACCTTGTACTACACATAAACTATATCCTTGTATTCATTCACAATAAATTTAATAGTAAAAAATTGGTTTTTTTTTTGTTAACTCTGTACCTATGCTTATTTTGAGTCACATTTCTTCTTTGTTTGATTTTTAGTAAATTAACTTTTGATACTATGATTATACTTTGTTGTGTGGTTTATCATTCTTTAAGCTTCAGCAGATCCTTCAGACTTTTCAACAACCTCCAAAACCACAATCTCCCGCCATTGACAATGCTGTGATGGCTCAGGTTCAAGCTATCACAGCTCAGTTAAAGACAGCTCCTACACAGCCACCTGAACAAAAAGCTGCTTTCCCCCCACCTGAACAAAAAACTGCATTTGACAAGGTACGCTTATCTCACATAACCAACCCCACTGTTTCTATCACTCAGTTTGGATTGTGGAAATTACCACTTGTGTAGCTTGTCTGTGGACTGTTCATTCTGTTGTTCTGTTGTTTGGGGGGAATCCCCCATTCTCAAACTTGAAACAAAATTAGTTTTTCTGACTACAGATCTAATATATATTCAATGGAGGGAATAAAAAGGTCAGGAAGAAAAGGAAAATAAGAAAATTCACCTGTACTCATTTAATATGTGAGTGTGGGGGTAATTTCAGTAATTTCCAATTGATATGTTGAGACTTAAGGGTTTCTTAGGCATAGTTAAGAAACTACTAAGGATACAGACATTTTGATCATGCACAACTTAACAGCTGTGTGTTGAAATTTAACCCAGATAGCTCCACTCTTGTCTGTTTTATGTCTTATCTATTTAGTATTGGGTTTACTAGGGTGAGTCAGAAAGTATTGCTAACTCAGAGTTTTTAAGTAACTAAGTGTTGGGCTGCTAACCATCTGCGAGGTTTGCAGTTCAAATCCACCAACTAGTCCTTGGGAGAAAAATGAGGCTGTCTGCTCCCATATTTAGTCTCCGAAACCTTAAGGAGCAGTTCTGCTGTATCTTACAGGGTTACTATAAGTCAAAATCAACTTAATGATGTTGTTGTTAAGTACCATGGAGTCAGTTCCGACTCATAGCGACCCTGTACAGGGTTTCTGAGGCTGTAAATCTTTACGGGAGCAGAAAGCCTCATCTTTCTCCCACAGTGTTTCGAACTGCTGACCGTGAGGTCCACAGCCCAATTCATAACCACTACGCTGCCAGAGCTACGTAGTGGGTTTCAATTCATACACGCATGCATCATAGGTATATTAAACATGTGTCTGGTTCATTGGATAGCTATAGACAGCTTCTCTCAGTAATAAAGTTGTCATAGTTTAGTTGGGGTGCTTTCTAAAAAAGCCCCAATAAAAACAAGGCACTTCCACCAGAACTGCTGGACAAGTTACATTTAAGACAGAGTGGTCAGCCCAGAAAGTATTGGAATCCCAAAGGGGTAATCTTGATAGATTTTTTTTCTCAAGGACACAGAACAATCATGGGGGCTTATTCTGATTTTTTTTTTTTTTTTTTTTAATTAAAAACTATAATAGTGAGAAAGGGCTGGAAGGTCGCACTGAAGGATTTTTTTTGTGATCAAGACAGTGTTACCTGCTTTGTCTTTGGGAATAGCAAGGGCTGTTGTCCTAAAAGAATTTTTAATAAAACCACTGGAAAACCTTACCTTGCCTACATTACAACCCTGATCTTTCCCCTTCAAACTTAATTTTGTAGCCCAAATGTTAGGAATATTAAAAAGGAACACAATTACAATCCCTTGAGGATGTCAAATAAGCCATTTTGGTGTACATCAAAGAGAACAGAATTCTGGGGAATGGTTAGAGAGATGAAATCACAGCCTTCAGAAGTGTATATATACAGTTACAAGGTATTAATACAGAGAATGATATTTTCTACATAATTGTGTTTTTCAAATAAGAGTATATAGTAGTAGTCGTCCTTACATAGAGTACATACAGAGTTACCTCTGATTATGACTCCAGTAAATGCTGAAGCTTGTATGATCTGTAATATCTATACCTTTGTAGATGTATGTAGCTGTTCTGTAGGGTAGATTATTTGAAGTAAATGTGCCAAAATAAAAATCCATGCACTCATTTCTTTTATAAAGGCGCAGTACATTCAGCTTTGGAAAGAGGACACTGTCAAAATGTCCTCCAGAAGTGTTAAATCAACTTTCAGTCTCACCAGCAGTGTTTAAGTACTCCTATTCTGGGTTTGTGGACAGTGTTTTGACTTTCGCTTGATTTTTATTTTTTATTTTTTGGAAAAATAACTATTATAAAAGATTGTATTCGTTTCTTCTAGTAGTTTAATATTTCTTATTTTCATTTTTGTTACTTCATCTAATTTTATTTTAGAATATGGTACAAAATAGTTCAGTCTTTGTATTTTGGAAATACATTTTTGTCACAGGAGCCCGGGTGTGGTAAGGCAGTTTAAAAGCACTAGGCTGCTGACTGAAAGTTTGGTGATTCACACCCACCAGTTGCTCTGTGGGTGAAAGCTACAACAGTCCTGCTTTCTTAAATATTACAGCCTTGGAAACCCTAGGGGAGAGTCAGAATCTATTCAATGGCAATCAGTTTGGGTTGTTTTTTTCCTTTGGTTTAAACTTTCACTATTAGTTTCCAAATAAGTCTTGGTATTCCTATGACTTTATAGATTAACTTTGAAAGTACTGATAGTTTCTTATATAGGCTCTCCATTTGTTTAAATCTCATCTTTTTTTTTTTTTTTCCACTTTGATCTTGTATATTTCTTGCTAAATTTTTCTTAGGTATTGACTCATTTTTAATGTTTTATAAACTTTTCATTTGGTTAATGATGCATAGAGGGAAACTTAGTTCCTAAGCAGAAAAACAACGCAAGTTCAGGAATTTAGTTTGAAATTCATAAGCAGAATGGGCACAGCTTAAGGAAAGATTGGTTGTTGAAATAAAAAGGTTGAGGTCTCTGAAGTCCAAAAGTTCACTTTCTGATTCTACCATTTATGTACTGTACAATTTTGGGTATGTTTTATAATTACCTGCGCCTTAGTTTCCTTGTTTGTAAAAGGAAGAAACTGTACCTACATTACAAAGTTTTGTGATGATCTATCTTATGTAATCTAACACAATAGTAGGTGTTAAAGTAAAGATGTTACCTTTCTTTATGAATACATGTGACCTTACTTTTAAATGACTGTTCTTTAGACATGTGATCTTATCAGGTATGTCGTTTGTTGTTTGTTTTTTGTTTTGTTTTTAATGAAAGTTTCTAGTAAAGATTTTGACATTTTAAGAAAGACTCTGAACTATTAAAGAAGCTAGATGCACAGGTATGAGAGACTTGTCCATTCTCTTGCCCTATGTTTTTCTCTTGTTTAATTGAGACATTTCTTTTTCTAAACATTAGTATATCCTTGAGCATGCACCGTATGAATATTCTTCATTTTTAATGACTGAATAAGATAGTCTTTATGTGCATTTCACATCAGGCTCAAAATGTACACACTTTTTTTTTTTTAAATAAAGATACATACGTAACATCATTTTTATTATGGTGACTTTCTAGCATCTGACATTCACGTGTAGGTTCCCATGTTCTCATCACTCAGCTTTTGTTTTGTTTTTTGAAGTTTTTGTTGTGAATTGAGTTTTAGTTTATATGACAGAACATTGGGTTTGCAGTCAACAAATCATCTTTTGTGTCATTGCAATGATTACAGCAATATTTGCTCTATTCCGTTTTTGGGGAGGGGCGAAGAGTATACACAAAAGCACTCAAGAGTATATAATCATTTAAACAACCAAAGGGCTCATTTTGCAAACCAGCCTCCTGCCCACCAGCACACAGCCTTTTATTTCCATGCGTCTAGAGCCCTCAGCTGCTCTATCTCTCCATGCCATCATCTCTGCCTCCATCTCTGGTGTTGCTATTTCTCTGCTTAGGATCCCATGTTCCACTCATGCTCCTCCCTCTTGATGGTTCCGGGGTCCTCTTTTCCTGAAATGTAAGATTAACTACTCCCCCTTTATGTTACATATCTTCTACCTTTACAGTGGTGACAATCTCAATTAGTCATGGTAATAGTTACTCACTACTGAAGTTTAAAAATCCTATTGATACCATCTCCTTTCACCAGACCCATCTAGACAAAAGATGAAAACTACTCAGTGGGCATTTTGCCTTCCGCGTCCCCATCTCTCTGAAACTAAACTCCCTCTTGAAAACTTGTAAGCCAGCTACTTCATGTTTTGATAGCACCCTCATTTTAGGTATCTAATGTGTTAATAACATTTTATTGTGAATTGTTTACAGAGCAAAATAGTTTTCCACTCAACAATTCATAAAAGTTTTGTTTCGTAACATTTGTTGCAGTCCCCACGTTGTACCATCACTTATCCCACTTTCTCCTTGTGTTTCCTTTTTCCATTTTTCCTTTTTTCCTTCCCTTCTTAACTTTGTCCTGGGGTAAATCCTGCCCTTTTGGTCTCAAATGGTTGATTATTTAAGGTGAGGGTACCTCTCTAGTATTATCGTTTCCCACATAGCCCCATCTACTTACTGTGTGGCTGAAAATTGAGCCATGGGAATGAGTTGATTTCCACATTTTTCTCACACTTTAATGTGATCGCTTTCAGAGCAGTTGGTAGTCAGTGGTAACCGGGCACCAACTAGTTCTGGTCTCAGGGTCATGGAGACTCAGGTTTGCATAGTCTATTAGTCCATCAGACTAAGTATTTCCAAGTGTCTTCAATTTTCATTACACTTATTTCTCTGGACAGGGAGAAACCAGTAGTTGTACCTTAGATGGCCATTCATGAACTTTCAAGACCCCAGTCACTACTTATTCATCAAAGCAGGTCTTTGTGAACTATGTTATGCCAGTTGACATTGGTGTGTCCCTTCACCTCCCCTAAGATCATAGCGTCCTGGGTCCCCAGGCCCAGTGACTCATTCATTCCCTCAAGGTATTGGTTATGTCTAAGAAGTTTTCATACCTTTGCTCATGGAATCAACACTTCATTCATGTATATATTTTCAGAAAATATAAATACACAGATACACGTATTCTCTCTAAAACCTATACTGTATACCTGTTTTAGTCTAGGAAAATGAATATTTTAGAAAATATTTCTACTGCTAAATTAACTTGTTTGTTAAGTGCCATCAAGTCAGTTCTGGCTCATAGCTGCCTGTGTAAGGTTTCCAAGGAGCTGCTGGTGAGTTTGAACCGCTGACTGGTCTAGTACCTTATCCCACAGCACCACAAATAGTAAAAATCTGAACATTGCATTTTTAATTGAGAATAAAATTGTGCAGGGGTTCTTCAAAAAGTTCGTGGGAATTTCTTTTTTTATTTAATTCCTTTTTTCCACAAATTTTGAAACCCCCTTATATTTGAATCAAACTGTCTGTGTCTTTGAATCGGGGTTCTAAGGGCATATGGAAAAATGAGATTGTCTATGACTGTGTGGTGGTATTGTATATGATGGTTTCTATAAAGTTGTTATGCCATGAATCTTAATCTAAATTTTTTAATGGAATATTGGCATACCTTTTCCAGAAGCTGCTTGATAGATTTGATTATGATGATGAGCCAGAAGCTGTGGAAGAATCAAAGAAAGAAGAGGCGGCAGTAGCCACTGCCACCGCCGCCGCCGCCGCCATCACCACCCCTCCTGCTGTTGCCCCTCCTGCTCCTGCTGCTGCCCCCACTGCTGCCCCCACTGCTGCCACTCCCACTGCTTCTCCACCTCCACAGACACCATTGTACGTTTCTGCTTTTTAAATATTCAGCAGATAAAAAGATATGATCATTGTTGGAAAAGCATGTGTAATGTTTTGTAACAAAATCAGTTTTCATGTATAGTGGTTGTTTTATAAAATTGAGGGAGTTTTTGGGGAAGGTTTCTCCCAAGTTAAGAGCAAGCCTATCAGATTTGCAACAGCAACAACAAAAAATAGAATTTGTGTTAGGGATCATGCTGAGTGTATAAGTTATATTTGGACATATGTATGATTTAGTAAAATGTTGATTGTCAGTGACTCCTGTTTCTGTGGCATAAATGTAGCTAAGAATCTTACCTCCTGTTAAATGGTAAAAGGATTACTTCTCTTTTCCTAGTGGATTTCCTGGTGATGGCATGCAACAGCCAGCCTATACACAGCATCAAAATATGGATCCGTTTCAACCTCGAATGATGGGAATACAACAGGATCCACTGCACCATCAGGTACAGATCTTTTCCTGCAGTCAAGTTTTAATAACTCAAGATCTCCTAGTTAGAGCATGATATGGTGTACACTTCATTTCACAGACCACTATTATTTAGCTATGTGATAAGGTACGGTTGTACTGCAACTCCAGTGAGCACACATTGCTTTAAGTTCTTTTTGCTGTAATTAAAATAAGGATGCTAAATACTATAACATACTCATATTTTAATAATAGGTTTTATCGTTAAAAGACTTTGTTATTGTTAATGCCGTTGAGTCGGTGCCGACCCATAGCAACCTTGTATAGGGTTTCTGAGAAGCAGCTGGTGAGCTTGAACCACCGACCTTGTGGTTCAAACAGCTTTGCAGTCTGGTGCATTAACCCATAGAGCCAAAAGTGAGTGTTTCTGTTTCAGGAAACTAGCCTGTTTTCACAGCTCTTTCCCTTGCTGACCCTTTTTTTCCTCTAAACAATTTTATGACATCGAGGCCTCTTGTCCTAGTCACCAAATCATTAGGACACTCCTTTTATGATAGATTTTGTGAAAAGCTATTAGCTTCATGGTCTCTCTTGAATAGACAGAACTTTTTTCCCTTAAACGATCGTTTTCCATCAATTCTTTCTCACCTTTCAACATTCAGGATAATGGTTTGAAATCCGGCATAAGAGGAACATAGCAAACTGGAAAGTTAATAGAAATTTGTTCATTGGGTTCATTATCCTCTAATTCAGAGTTTTCTTAACTTGTCTATGCACTGAATTTAGAGGTAGCAAATTGGGGGTGGAGAATGGGAGGGCATTTTTTAAAATACAGTTCCTGATGCAATCAATTTCTAGAGAAGAATCTGCTTTTTTTTTTTTTTTTACCCCCCCTCAATTATTCAGTTATACAACCCAGTTTGAGAGACCTCACTTTCTAGCCTTAGTCTAGAAAGCATTTTGATAAATTTCTTTAGAATATATTCACTTTCTTACCCAGATTGTACTCATTCTATATATTTGATAATATGAAATTGCTGTGGTGATTTTAATGACTTATTAAGTTAGGAAAGTATTTTCATAAGGCTATTTAGAATATGAAGAAATAGCTTTGACCCGTATTTCCAGATGTCTAATAATTGCTGGAGTCCTGGCACGGTACTATAGGATAAGCCCTGGACTACTAACTGGCAAGGTCGGCAGTTCAAACCCACCAGCCACTCCTTGGAAATCTTCTACAGGGTCGCTATGAATTGAACTGACTTGATAAGCACTTAACAAAAGCAGTTACTGAAAGTTTATAATTCCTTAAATTGATTTGGTGTTTGAATTGCACATGTTAGAAATATGTTGTGTTTTTCTCTCTCTATTAGAAAGTGATTGAGGGTAGCTATCGTTTAAATTTTTTTGGTAACATTTAAAAATTTCTCATATACTTTGTTTAAAAACAAAAGGTTCCGCTTCCTCCTAATGGACAAATGCCAGCATTTGGACTTCTTCCTACACCTCCTTTTCCCCCTATGGCTCAGCCTGTGATTCCTCCAACTCCACCAGTGCAGCAGCCTTTCCAGGCTTCTTTCCAGGCACAGAACGAACCACCTACCCAGAAGGCACATCAACAGGTAAAAACTCATGTCCTGAATGTTGACTTATTTATTTTGTTGGCTCTGTCTACAAATTTCACCTTTTTCATTTTAGGACCAATTTTTTTCTCTTTTTTCTTTTTTAAGGAAATGGAAGTAGAACAGCCTTGTATTCAAGAGGTTAAGCGGCATATGTCTGAAAACAGAAAGTCAAGATCTAGGTCAGCATCCAGGTAATTTATAGGAAATGTTTTTCCAACCCTCTGTGTCTTAGAATACAGAGGTATGAAGTCAAGTTTGATTAGTTTCATATCTGCAGTGTTAACAAAATGACAATTGATCATATTTTTATATATGTGAGGTGGGAACAGAAATAATAAAAGAAGCAAATAGACAAAACCTGTAGTCCCATAATTTTCCTCCTTTGAGTTGCACTAATTAATGTGTATGTATTTAACATAGAATTATAAGAATTATATAATTACCATTTTTTTACAACTTCATTTCAAAAACATAAGTGGAAGCATCAAACGTAAAAAACTATAATAGCATTACAATTTTAATTTTTAACTGCTATGCAGAAGACTTACTGAGAAGGTGGGTATCAAGTAATAACAGATATTTCAGCGTCTTATACTGTGAGTATGTAATTTAATTTAGTATAGCACCTGAAGAAACTGAAAATGAGAGCTGCTTTGATAAACTGGAAACCTTATTTATGTGGTTTGAATTATATATATGATGTCTGTGAACTTTTAAAACATCTTTAAAATGAATTCCTTGCTAATTGAATTCTTATATTCATATATTCAATTATTTGATAGTATTTTATTTTCAAATTAATGCACGTAAGAAATATTTTCTATTCTCTCCATGTGCTATCTCTTCTTCCTTCCCATCAAAATACTAGGTCACCAAAAAGAAGAAGATCTAGATCTGGTTCTAGATCACGAAGATCTCGCCATCGGCGGTCTCGATCTCGATCCAGGGATAGACGCCGACATTCTCCTAGATCTCGATCCCAAGAACGACGGGATCGAGAAAAAGAAAGGGAACGCCGACAGAAAGGTCTTCCTCAAATCAAACCAGAAACTGCAAGTGGTAATTAACCTCCATATTCGAACTTCTTCATTATATTCTTTATGTCATGGGTTTGCAGTGTTTCAGAACTGTTAGCAAAGCCGTAAATGAAATGTTGTGGCTGCATTTTTTGTTTTACAGAATACTGCTTTATGGTGTTTTATTTGCTAATACAGTTGTATATATATCCTTGATCCTTGCTTTTGTGCAGTAATAAGTTCTAAGAAGCAGCTAGAGTCTTGGATCTAATGTATGATGTACAAAATCCATTAGCTAGCTCTTCTGTATATAATGGGGAAAAATTGTTTGTCAAAATTACTTATTTCTTTTATGTAGATTTAAGATTTATGGGATATATTAGCTTGCATTAACTCTTGAAGCTCATCAGTGTGTTAGAATAGTAAGGTGTACTTAACGTATTCTTGGTATTATTCAGTAACTTATTAAGATGTTAATTCATGACTTGTTAAATGCCAGCAAATCAGTTCTGATCCATAGTGACCTTGTATAGGGTGTCCGAGAAGCAGCTGGTGAGCTTGAAACACTGACCTTGTGGTTAAAACCAACTTTATAGTCTAGCACATTAACCCACAGCGCCACACCATGACTCCATAACATGACTAGGACATATATATAATCTCTGACTCTGGAAGACTCACTTAGGACACAGCATTTAAAAAACAAAAATCAGAAATACTCAGAAAGTTCATGGAAAAAAATGCATTCTCTTATACTTCCATTTTCCACAAGTTTTTGAAGTCCCTTCATAGTGAACAAAAGTACTATATTGATTACTAATCACGATCATTGAGCTTACACCCTCCTACTCTTCTACTCTTAGGTGTACTTTCAGAAGTGCAACCACAATTTTGTTTTCCCTTTTAAATTTTTTTTTTTAGTTGTGAATTGAGTGAAGGTTTACAGACAAGATTATCAGCTTTACATTCAACAGATCATTCGCTTTGTTTCATCTCAAGGATTTCAATCCCCTCCCAGCAACAACAGTAACCCTACTTCTTCCTTTTGGTTCCCCATTTATATGTTATCTTTCACAAGTGAACAAAGCAAAAATACTTGATGCTTACGTATGAAACAAAAAATATATATTCCTTTAAATGTCCGAAGGGCACATTCTGCAAGCCAGCCTCCTGCTCACAGGCACACAGCCTTGGCTCAGTCCATGGGCTTAGAGCCCATAGTTGCTACTCTCTGATGTTGCCACTTACATATAAGTAAGGATCTCATGTTCTTTCTTCCTGAAATGAAATACTAACTACTCCCCCTTCTGGTCACACATTTTTTACAATTACAGTTTTAATAATCACAATTAATCCTGTTAACAATTACTCACAATTGAATCATCAGATCTTGTCGTCGTCATCCCCCATCCCCTTTCACCAGATCCATCTGGAAGACAGAAAAACTGTTCAGTGGGGATTCTTCCTTACTCCCTCATTCTGAAACTAAGCACACCCATGAAAGCTTGTAAGCTAGTTACTTCATGACTTTATTAATCCCTTCCCCCATTTTTGAGAGCCATTGTCTAAATTGCCCATCCCTGTCAACTGAGGAGACAAACATGTTCTTTGATCTGAAGAATCTTCCAGACTGACAACTATAATTTTTCTAGAACATTTTAAGTGTCTATATGGAGTCCTAAGGAGCTCTGGTAAAGGAGCTCTGGTAGCGTAGTGGTTACGAATCGGGCTGCGAACCGCAAGGTCAGCAGTTCGAAACTACCAGTTGCTCCGCGGGAGAAAGATGAGGCTTTCTGCTCCCGTTAACATTTATAGCCTCGGAAACCCTGTACAGGGTCGCTATGAGTCGGAACCGACTCCACGGCACATAGTAACAACAACAAGGAGCTCTGGTAGTATAGTGGTTACAAATCGGGTTGTGACTCCACAAGGTCAGCAGTTTGAATCTACCAGCTGTTACACGGGAGAAAGATGAGGCTATCTGCTCCCAAAAAGATTTACAGCCTCAGAAACCCTGTACAGGGTCGCTATAAGTCGGTTCCAACTCCACGGCACTAAACAACAACAACATATGGAGTCCTGGTGTGGCGCTGTGGGTTAATGTACAAGACTGCAAAGTCGTTTGAACTGCAAGGTTGGTGGTTCAAGCTCACCAGTTGCTCCTTGGAAACCCTATACAGGGTCGCTATGGGTCGGAACTGACTCAGTGGCACTTAACAACAACAATATGGGCTTGTTATTTTTATTTATAGTGTCATAGCATAACTCATGCCTATTTTTGTGTGATGATTAAGATACCGTGCTACTGATTCTCAAATATGAATGTTTGTGATAATTTTAAGTTTGTAGTACTACACTCTGGGTGGGACAGCTGGACAAACGGACAACGCAGCAGGATGTTGCCAGTCTCTTAGAAGAATTTGGTCCAATTGAATCAATTAATGTGAGTATTTCATTAAATAATTGGATGACAATGGATTCATACAGTTGTCATTTTAAGAAGTTGAAGACTTAAGACCTAAGTTCCATTTTGCACAGGTGTGTAGATGTGCCTAGAGTTTAAGTATTCTTTTCATTTAGCTACATTTTTTAGATAACCAAGTTTAACTTAAAACCTCTTCTATAGTAAGGAGCTCTGGTAGCGTAGTGGTTACGAATCGGGCTGCGAACCTTAAGGTCAGCAGTTCGAAACTACCAGCCGCTCTGCGGGAAAAAGATAAGGCTTTCTACTCCCGTAAGGATTTACACCCTCGGAAACCCTGTACAGAGTCGCTATGGGTCGGACCCGACTCGACGGCACTTAACAACAACAACAACATAGTAAAGTTTTTACGAAACAACTTTGTGGGAAACCAGGTGGGTTCATTAATAATTGCAACTGATACCAAATTTGAAATGCCAAATTTACTTTCATTTAATAAATTAATCTCAAATTACAGAAAGCTGACCAGCAGTGTTGACAGTGATAAAGGTTGTTGGAAACAGTTCATTAGGATTTTATCTTGTTGCTTTTTACTGCTTGTTGTTGTCAAATTTTGTAATTTTTTAAATGTTTTTGGAACAGATGATTCCTCCCAGGGGTTGTGCCTATATTGTCATGGTTCATAGGCATGATGCTTATCGTGCCCTGCAGAAACTGAGCCGAGGAAACTACAAAGTGAACCAGAAATCCATAAAGGTACAGTTTTATATCTTTCAAAAAATGTGATTTTTTTTATAAACTTTAGGCTTAGAAATGACTTTGATCTTAAGACATACTGCCAAATGTTATTTTTTAAGAAGTGATTCTCTCCTAAAAGAACTACAAATTTTCATTAGCATAAAATTTAAATGTTTGATTTTGTTTTTTTAATGTAGGTAGTTTGACCAAAAGCAAGTTTTATCTTGTCAGTCAAAAATATTTCATTTTCCACACTTAGTTTTTAAAGTTTGCCATCTCATTTTAAATTAACTGAGTAATATTCACAAACATAGAGAAAAGGATACACGTACATAGGTATTCTTCCTTTTAGAAAACACTTGGGTTTTTTGTTGGTTTTTTTTTTTGTTGTTGTTGTTTTTAATTTAAATGAATTTAGTGAGTTCTCAAGTGTCTACAGGCTTTCAAAAGTGGCTCCCGGGTTTTGAGGGTAGGATGTATATGAGAATAGAGTCATACAATAGTTAGTTTTCAATAATTATAACTCTTCCCCTTCCTCCCTCCCCCCCGCCTTTTTTTCTTTTAATTTTTACCTAATGGTAAAATAGATTGCCTGGGCCTTAAACAAAGGAATAAAGGCTGATTATAAGCAGTATTGGGATGTAGAACTTGGTGTTACGTATATTCCATGGGACAAAGTCAAGCCTGAGGAGCTGGAAGGTTTTTGTGAAGGAGGAATGTTGGACAGTGATACACTTAACCCAGGTAAAATAGTATTTAATTTGATCTGTTTTTGGTGTGTTTTTTTTTTTGTAATATGTGTTACAAGTCAAATGTCCTTCTTTATTCTCTTCACTAGAAAATGAGTTTGGAGATTTTTCAAATACCCACTATGTACCATTCATTACAAACAGGATGCATAGTGAATAATACAAACGTGGTCTTTGTCCTTATGCAACTTTTCTATATAGTGGGAGAGGTACAGACACAAGTAACTATTGCTTAATTGTAGTATGGGAATGCAGTGGCTCCATATGATAACCACTGGACTGTGAACCACAAGGTCTATGATTCAAATGTGCCAGCTTCTCTGCAAGAGAAAGATGAGGCTTTCTGTTCCCGCAAACATTTAAAGCCTCAGAAACCTTCTTCAGGGCCGATTTGAGTTGGAATCAGCTCATTGGCACTTAACAAAAACAACAAAAGAAAGTACTGAGTCTTATTTGTTACTGTGAAAAACTTTGACAGATCAAATGAGTCTTAAAATTAGTATCATTTGCATTATGTTTTAATACAGTGCTTCACAATAATTTCTTTAGCAATGTTTAAATGTCCAGAGTAGCAATAAAATAAGCTTATAAGACGAGAAGGTACAGTTCTTTGTGGGCTTGAATATTTACTGCTAGATTCACAGTAAGACTGGAATGGGGAGAATGACTGAATGTATAGGCATGGCTTTGGGACAGATGGCAAGCATGAGGAGGAGTACAGAATGGTGTCACATCTTTGAACAGGAGTGGTGGCTTGAGAGCCCAAAATTGGTGTAACAATTTTATACTATTTCTACATGTCTTCCCCTCATTAAATGTTTCCCTTACAGATAAAGCTAGGCATCTGTTCAAGCAAACAGGTATTGAAAACTTATTATGTGCCAAGCATTCTGAGAGGTTATGGTTCATGTACAAAGAGCAGGACAGTGGAATCTCCACTCCCCAGTTCCATCAGAGCTTGTGGTTCAATGGAGAGTTTATTGAGAAGGTGGAGAACAGAGTCTTTAGTGGAATAAGGCCACAGAGGGAAGGCAGAAAGGAAAGAATGGTTTATGTTGTTTGCTGGTGTGGAAGATGGGTGAAAATAAGTTGACAGTTATCTGAGTTATTCTTTTATATAAGAGAGTGTTTGTTCAGGAACTGGTGAGCGTGGCATGATCTTTGTTGCTGTTGTTGTTTTAATACTTTAAATGATATACAGTTGTAATTAAGAGTGTAGGCTCTTCAGGACCCTACCCAGAGAAGCAGTGATGCCAGAGATGATGATGTGGAGAGATGGAGCGGCTGGGGACTTTGGACCCAGAGAGGGACGGGGGCTATGTGCTGACAACGGAGGGCCAGGGCAGGCTTGCAGGGTATATATACCCTTTGGTTGGTTGATGATGCATGGAGGGGATTATAACCATGGCAATGAAACGATATGTGATATGATGAGTGTAAAACTAATATTCTCCCCTGTAAACTATCACACAATTCACAATAAAACATTAAAGAGCGTAGGCTCTTATACAGTTATAATTAAGCGTGTATGCGCTAGAGCCAGAAGTGTTGGGGTTGCATCCTAGTAGCACTGCTGTTTACTAGGTGTGTGACCAATACAAGTTGTTGATGCTTTCCTTATTTATAAGATAGTAATAATAGCAGCATTTGTGTAAGTATAATAAAGTATGTAGGGATGAATATGAGAATTACATGAAGTACTTAAAGCAGTGCCTGGTGCACTGTTGTTACTGTTGTCAAACACCATCAGGTTGGTTCTGCTCACAGCAACCCTGTATATGGTGGATTTGAACTGCTGACCTTGTAGTTATCCAGTCCAGTGCTTACCCTATAGTGCCACACCCCATTAAATAACTGATAGATTAGTGTAGCAGTTTTTATCTTTAGGTTTTATGTATAATGAATATTTTTTTTAATTTCTAGATTTAGAATTATAAAGTGAAAGTAGTGATTTTTTTTTAATTTCTTTAACTTCCATAGATTGGAAAGGAATTCCCAAGAAGCCTGAAAATGAAGTTGCTCAAAATGGAGGTGCAGAAAGCTCACACACAGAACCAGTATCGCCCATACCTAAAGCGTTGCCTGTTCCTGTCCCTCCTATTCCTGTTCCTACACCTATAACAGTACCACCTCCACAGGTGAGATGATTTAGGCAGTTGTTTAAACTGTGCTGTCTGAAAGATTCCTGGCTCAATCTTAATAGTTTTTGTTGTTGTTGTTGTTGTTTATGAATGTGTGTATTTTCAAAGATAAAAGTAAATATTTTTTTTTTATGTTGGTGTATCAGGTCTATTGTTTATAAAATCCAACACGTTTTTCATAAATATTCATAAAACCAGAAAACTTCATCGTGCCATACTTCTGTATGTATCATTCAATGTGTCTTACTTAGCTTGTAACAGCCTAGATGTGAGATGAGAACCTACTCGAGTTTCAAATGTTCTTTCTCTTCTCTTCTTTGCCTTTTTTCTTATTGAGTAGTTTTTCTTCAGGAACTTTATGCTCTGAAGGAATGTGGATCTGTACCCAATAAGCAGCTGTTGTCAGGGAAGCAAAGTTTCTTAATCCTGAATTTGACTAGTGCTAACATAATTTATTTCTTAATGAAAGCTATTTAATAAATTGGTAACAGAGTCATCGCTGCCTACCTACCATCCTGTTATTAAGGAAAAAAAGACGGATCTGGCAGAAATGGGTTTGAATCTCAACTGCATTGTATACACTCAGCACTGTGGCTTTGGGCAAGTCACCTAACCCCTAAGCTTCAGTTTCTTTGTCTATAAATGTGGAGATTCTTCCCTCTTAGGCTTTTTTCTAAAAATGTTCAGTTCATTGAATCCCCATAATTTTGTGAAGTCTGCATTTTCTCTGTTCTACTGTTGAGTGAACTGGGGTCTAGAGAGGTTAAGTAGTTTGCTCCAGTTCTTGCAATCTGGACTTCGGGAACTGTTAGAGTAAGCAGCATGTGATCTTGACCTGATTTCCCAGATTATTTGACCTGACCTTGGGACATTGTAAGATGTATCATATTCCCTCTGACACCAGTAGATGTAGGTAAAATAAGTATGGACAAAGTAGGGAGCACAGATTTTGATGGATGTGAGTTTGGTGTATACAGATAATAAATGTGTTTGTGTAACTCTAACTTTATAAAAAACAGAACCTTTTTTAGTAGTATGACATTTTCTTAATCTGTATTCACTATGTGAGCGTGGGGATATTTCGGTTTATTTTTGTTTCTTTCTAGGTCCCACCACATCAGCCTGGTCCTCCTGTAGTTGGTACGCTCCAGCCACCTACTTTCACCCCTCCTTTGGGAATCCCTCCTCCAGGCTTTGGCCCTGGTGTTCCTCCTCCTCCACCACCACCACCATTTTTGCGCCCAGGATTCAACCCAATGCATTTACCACCAGGTATGTTCGGTTTGAGAAGACATCCATTTTGTGCCCAAAATGAAGTGGTACAGCATAAATTGACATTATTTTTCTTATTCTAGGTTTTCTTCCTCCTGGGCCCCCACCTCCTATAACTCCACCAGTATCCATTCCTCCTCCTCACACTCCACCAATAAGCATCCCAAACTGTAAGCATGTGTTTCCTTTGTGTTCTCCTGTCCTCTTGGGAATAGAAGGGAGAGTGAGCCCCAGTAACAATAGGGACTGTAGTATGGCAAAAGAATGTTTGCCGGGGAGGCAATTAATTATTCAGCTTCACATGTTGATGTGATTATATTCCTTAGCTACTATCGCTGGTATAAATGAAGACACTACAAAAGACTTATCTATTGGAAATCCCATTCCAACAGTGGTGTCTGGGGCTAGAGGAAACGCCGAGTCTGGTGACAGTGTGAAAATGTACGGTTCTGCTGTGCCACCTGCTGCTCCCACGAATCTGCCCACCCCTCCTGTAACCCAGCCTGTCTCACTTCTTGGTAAGTTCATTTTTCATCATTTGTTTGTTGTTTTGTTTTCAAGTTAGGTTTTTCAAAAACAATGTTTGCGCTGCTAAAATGTTTTCCAAGGCTAATATTTTTCTTTAAATAATATCTTTGTCTTGAATATGAGAGTAAGTAAAAAAAAGTATTGCTACTAGGTTTCCAGTTCATACTTGCATGGATTTATTCCAAATAAAATCTGTTTAAATATGCCTCTGCAATCAGTGAATGACTGCAGACAAGTTCTCTCTGTAACACATTTGTCTTATTGTTACGTTGCTAAGTGCTGTCAAGGTGGTTCACTCTCATTGTTGTTGTTGTTGTTGTTAAGTACCATCGAGTTGATTCCAACCCATAGCTACCCTGTATAGGGTTTCCAAGGAGCAGCTGGTGAGCTTGAACCACTGACCATGTTTAAACCAGCTTTGCAGTCCAGTGCATTAACTCACAACAGCACATCAGGACTGTTGTTGTTGTTGTGAAGTGCTGTCAAGTCAGTTCCGACCCTTGTGTAGGGTTTCTGAGGAGTAGCTGATGAGCTTGAACTCCCAACCTTGCAGTTCAAATGGCTTTGCAATCTGGCGCATTAATCCTCAACACCACACTGGGATTCCATCAGGACCATTAGGGTGTCTTAAAAAAAAGTCCAATTGAAACAATGACTTCTTCTGGGCCAGTTAATTGTAAGTCAGAGAGGTCAGCTCAGAATGTTATGTAGACTTGGAATTCCAAAGGAGGGCAGTAATCTTGATAGCTTTTTTGGAGGACATAGGACAATCACGTAGCTTACTAGGAAAAAGTTAAGAAGATGGAAAATTGCAAAGGCCAGGAAAGTTACATTGGGGAGTTTTGTTTTTTTTTTCACCACAACGATGCTAATTTTTTGAGGTTAGCAAGTACTGCCCTATAAGAATTTCATTGGGAGGCCTTACCTCATCCACCCTACATTCCCTATTGACAACTTTTTGTTCTCCAAACTCAAAGAACATTGAAAAATCAGCATGATTTGAGTCCCTCAAGGATACCAAAAGTGCTGTTTTAATATGGTGTAAATCAAAGTGTACAGAATTCCTAAGGGAAGAATTAAAATCCCAAAACCTAACCTCCTGCCATCAAGTTAAACAGCAGAATAAAACTGCTCCGGAGATTCTGAGACTAAATCATTACAGGAGCAGCCAAGTTCATCTTTCTCCTGCAGAGCAGCTGGTGGGTTTGGGATTTTGTAGTTACTTGCTTAGCTCTTAACCCTGTGTCACCACAGCTCCTGATGAGGGTTACGTCGAGAAACAATAGCTTCACGGTTTGTTACTTTGTTTTAGAAAGGTTGCTGTGATTTTTGTAGCAATACTTTTTGACTTACTCTCGTTTGTGCCCTTGGTCTTTACCAAGACTAGTAACTCAAGAGACATTCGCAAAGATAAAACCATGTTTGTTTGTCTGTCTTGAATAAAACTATGGATTTACATGTTTAGATTTTTATTAGAAAAATGGATAATCTCTAAAAAGGTTCACAGTTGATACTACTTTGGACTCTTTCCCCAGCTTTATAGGAAATAGCATTTTTTTGACAAAATGGGTTTCTTCCTGTCAGGAGCCACTTTTACCTCAAACCCTCAGATTGTGGTAGCATTATTTATGGGCTAACAAGGAACTCATCCTTGCTATGCTGCAAGAAAATGACTTAGTTATCTGAGTGGCAGTTGCAGAGCCTGAGGTAATGATTTTCCCCTGATTCCTCAGTGTTCTCATACTAGGACTTTTCTTTATACAAGCTGTAAGGATTCTCACCATTGTATCAGGAAGATCAAAGGAGGTGTGATTTAGATAGTTTCTGTCTGAAAGAGTGTTTACCCTTTACCCTGGCTTGCTAGACTGATAAATAAATGCATTATATACTTGTTATAGTAGACTATCTTTTAAATAAATAAATTTTTAACTTGAAGTGGCATTGCCACATATAATAATTAACACTTGATTCTCTGAATGGGGTGTTAAACTATTTCTGTAGCATTATAACCTGCTAGGTATGTGAGTGAGTCCACTGGGATTTGTAAGCTTTTAGGAAGAGGCACATTGGTTACCACTGGGATTTAGGGCTGTAGACATTGATTTGTAATAAAGGACTTTTACTTTTCACTTCATACCTTTTAGTACTATTGGGAAGTTTTACTTTGTTGGGTATATTACATTTATAATAAAAATCTTGTTTGTTTTTAAACGGCATGTTGTCTCCTGCCCTCTCTAAGATGGAGCTTAGTCTGATGATAACTTGATTTTTTTTCCCCTTAGTACACAGACAGGGTAATAATGGTGAAACAATTTGGGGTTAAATATTCTCCAGTAATAATAGGCGTAGTCATCATAATTTGTTCATTGAGAAAGTTGCTTAAAATGCCTACATCTTAATGGAAATCATATAGTAGAAAGAACATTGGACTAGGAGCCTGGACACCAAACATCTTTGGATATTTTTTTTATTTTTTTTTTTTTTTTGTCTTCTTGAGTTATAATAAGGTGATTGTGCAAGAGTCATAGAATCTGAGTTGACTAGAAATTTCTAATCAACTCCTTGTCTCCTTCTCCCCACCCCTGTAGCCCTGATTATAAATACTCTTGAGTATTAGCACACTTGAGGCTGTTCACAAAATTGCATTTGTTTGTGCATTTTTAAGGACTAGAAAAGGGCTAGCCACATAATAGATGCTTAGTTAATGAGTAAAAAGATTTAATAATATTCAAGAGCTTAAGAACACTACTTTCTAACAATCCTAAAGAGTAAGTAGTCCACCTCGATTTAACATTTACGTCTTAGAGACATTGTCCTTTATTTATAACCAGTATTGACACCTACAATTTAAACTGCATCCAACATGTGAAACAAAACAAAAAATCAAGTCAAAAGTTGGTAAGCCTAAAAAACTAACTAGGCACCACTGCTAGAAAAAGAATCCAACTGAGAATCTTTGTTAGCACGTTCACCACCCCACGTGCATGTGTTTGGGTGTCCACCGTCCTAGAATGGAAGCTACATGAGGCAAGAGGGGCATTTGCATGCCAGCCAGTGGATGGATGATTCTTAATGCAGAGCAATTCTATTTCATCTCTGATTGTCTTTGTAACTTTTTAAAACAAAATTTAAAAATTTAAGACTTACAAATCTGAGGATTCTACTTTTGACATAGATTAAAAGTTTTTACTTCAGTAAAAATAAACATTTTTAACTAAAAATATACCTGTTCATTTGAAAATCAAGAAGAATGTTCCCCCATGTTCCTTCATTTGGAAGCCTCAAAAAGAAAATTTCATGAACCTTTTAGAGAAAAATGAGATGTCTTAAATGTTCATCCAAAAGAACAGTTCCACCATTTTAATTTTTAAAACAGATATATATATATATATATATATATATATAGTAATCAGATCGTGGTATTGCAGTACTAAGGAACCAGTAAAGGTTGGAGTAATGCTGGCATTAACTAACAGAACACTAGAATTAAATTTGTGTTCATGTTTCCTTTTGGTGCTCTAATGTTTACACTTAGAATAATAATAAAGTACTGTGCTATACCAGAAAACTTTTTTTTGCCTAGAAAGGATACTAAACTCTGTAAAACAGGGAATAAAAATGGCACACTAGGGTGTTGTGATGATTCACTTGGTTAACATAAGTAATAAAATGCTTGACACAGTTCCGGCACAGGGTGGGCACCCAATGAGTGAATGGTGGATGCTTATTACAGGTAAGAAATTACCATGCATGATATTTAGAAACACCTAGAGGAGAATATTTATACGTAGTAATTTAAAAATTACTTGAGCTTGGCTTCATTTTTAACTGTTCTATATGTTTGGCAGACAGGCAAACTTTTGAGACAAAAGATATCTTGATATAGTTGCCATACATATTTCTAAGGAAGACCAGATCATAAGTTTACACATACAAAATTTCCATCAGTTGAATTATTGAGCAAACTTTGGTCATAGTGTTGATGTGTTTAAACAGCTAACTTAATATATGTACTTTCCTATTAATAATATAAGTCGTTTTCTTACACTGAAAGGTAAATGTATCATTGAGACCTAAGTAAATTCTTGGATCTTAGTTTCTGAATTGTGGTAATATTTTTACAGGGTTAAATATAAATGTATTCAAACAAGTTTTCATCAGATCTTTAAAAATTCTGTAGTTAGACTTCATTATACTGGAAGAAGGTCTTGCCTTAAGGATGATTTGGTTTAAAGAATTTGCTGTTTGATCAGACTTATATGTGGATATTAGTTTTTGAGTGGTGGTGGTTTCAGGAATTGGATTAGGGTAGAATTTAGAAAAAAACTAAACCTCTTTTTTTTAGAGGTTTTAATTCATTATCACTTGATTTTTAAGTCTGTAACCTTTCGCTCAAGTTCTTAGTACAACACACTCAGCTAATAGAACAATCCTAGAGAATAAGTTGTTGTTAAGTGCCATCGAGTTGATTCTGACCCATAGCAACCCTGTATAGGGTTTCTGAGGAGCAGCTGGTGAGCTTGAACCGCCGACCTTGCAGTTCAAATGGCTTTGCAGTCTGGCGCATTAACCCACAGCACCACACCAGGACTCCACCTCAATTTAGCATTTATGTCTTGAAGACTTTGCCCTTTATTTGTAATTAGTATTGATACCTGCAATTTAAACTCTGCATCCAACATCTGGGGGAAAAAGTTGGTAAGCTTGAAAAATTAAACATATTAAACTAGGCACTCCTAGAAAAATCAAACTTAGAATCTTGGTTAGCATTTAATTTCGTGAAAATTAAAGACAGCATTCTACAGTTGTTGATTAATAAGGAGACAAAGATTATAAAAGAAAATATCCAGTTCATTCTCTTTACTGTACAAGTGTCTGTGATTTATTTTTTTCAAACGTTTGTATAATATGTTTCTCTAATATGATGTATATAGCTTTTTAATTTTTTTCTAATTAAAAAAAAATCGTTGTAAATGTGAAATATGGGTTA